CGAAACGCCACGCAAGAGGCCACGAGAGCCGGCCGGCGAGCAAAGTGAGGGCGGGCTCCACCACGGCCAAGGCGAGGCGAGGAGGAGGGCCGGGGCCTCGGGGGGGAGAGGGCAGGAGGCGCTGGACTCCGGGCTCGACACAGGGACCTAGGAGGAGGCCGAAACGCAGGGCTAGAGAGAGAGAGAGGTTCCGGGCCTAGGCCGGGCGGCCCAGTCACTTACCGCAGCCGTCGCCAGACTGTGCATGTTGGGAGTGGCAGCCGCTCTACGCCCACCGCCGAACGCTCCCGACCCACGTCCCCACTTCAGCACTGAAGCCGCCAAAGATGATGAACCGCCGCAGCCGCCATCCGCCTTTGGCTCGCTCCGCCCCTTCGCAACCCTATGACCTTTCACCCCTGACCCCTTCTGAACAACTTATTCCCACCTCCTAGCTCTCAGCAAAGTATGTCCTTTGCCTCTTAAGATTCAGGACCTTAAGGACATCTGCCACCTACTTGTCCCCGCATCCCCTGGGAGGTACCCCGAGAGAGGGGCGTGAACTCCCACCCTACTCCGGAGGCCCGTGAAGGGCGGGAAAAAGTCCTGGGAGGACAAGTAGTGCGCATGCCCCAGACGAAATGAGGGGAAGTCGAAAGTGAGTGAAGTGGCCATGCGCATGCGTGCTACTATGGGGCGGAGCTACCTCCGCGGACTCCGCTCGGTGCTGGGGCGGAACGAGGGCGTGGAGGGGCGGTGTTTGCAGGCTTGCGCGCACGCGCCCTGTCCGGTCGCGTCGAGTGTGCGTGCGTGCGTTGCGTGTTTGCGTGTGGTCACAGTTCCCGCCATCAGCCACTCTCCCTGACTTGGGGTAGCGAGCTGTAGACCTCCGTTTGGGTTCGGCGTCCCTTCCTTCCTTAACCTCCATTCTTCCCCCTCCGCGCGGACTCGGTGCGAGCCCCGGACTCACAGGCACAGGTAAGACGGGCCCAGCGAGCTTCTCCACTGAGCCGTTTTCCGAGACCCCCCTTGCCCCGTGCGGTCCGCCCACTCGGCGTTCACTCTTCTGGAGTTCGCCCTGCTGCTGCTCAGCCTGCCTCCATCCCCTCGCAGCGCCCCTGGCCTCACACGTACTCCACTAGGGTCTATCCCTAAGCTTTCCTTCTTTGACCTGGTCCTAACTGTCACTCGCTTCCTCCGCAGCCCGAACCTGCCCCATTTCGCTGGGGGCTGTCGCCGTCCGCCACTCGCCCCTTAACGAGGCCTCTCTAAAGGGAACTTAGGTTGCGGTAGCCGCACATCCGTCAGGCCTTGGACAGGGTACTCTTTCACTCTTGACAATTCTTCACCTTCCTCTCCTAATCATCTCTAACCAAAAGGCATGGATTGTATTTTTGTCATGCATTTGGTTGCTCCCCAGCTCTAGACATCAGATCACGTTGTCAAGTTTACATATTTTGGGGCATGGTCCATGAAAGGAAATGATAATCGGTGACAAAATCCTGTGTTTCGGAAAGTTGGCCTGTACTGGTTTTGTGGTAGTTCTTTCAAAAATTTGGCTCTGCCTAGGGATAGGCCCTTTTTGGGGGTGGCAGTATCTGAAAAGTATCTACCTGGAGATATCTAAGAGAGGATGTCAAGTAGACAGTTGTATATATTGGGTTGGTGCTCAGAGGAGAGTTCTGGGCTGGACATACAAGTAAGTGTATATATGTCATCTGCCACCATGATGGTAAAGCTATGGATGTGGATGGAATTGCCTAAGGAGCGTACGGTGCTAGAAAAGACAGGGGCCTAGGATGGAGCACTGAGGGATTCTTGGCATTTAATAACTGATCTATTTCTGCACATCTTCAGGGTCACTTTTCTAGTTGAAGCCACAATCCTCATTCACCTGGACTTAATGTCACTGATACCCTGTTTTCTCATCTGTAAAATGGGAATAAACATCACCTTATTGGATTGTTATGAGGATTAAACGCAGTAACCATAGCATGCACATGGCCTTCCGTCAATAGCCAGTAAACATTAATTGTTATTGTAAGTGTTGTTATAAGTTGAATCACTCAATACTTTCCTGTTTGGTTGCCCTGTTTTCTTTCATTCTTGCTGCTTTCACTCTCCTCCCGAAACCCAAACAAAGCACATCACTTGTCCATTCAGCAGTAACATGTCATTTCTCCGCTTAAAACTCTTCAGTGGATTGCCCATCACTAGTGTTTATTACATTTAGGGTAAAATTCAAAATCCTTACAGTGGTTTACAAGATTCTTCATAATCTGATTCTTTCCTGCTTTACTAGCTTCATCTTGCACATCCTCCCTTCCCTCTCAGAACTCCAGTCACACTGCTTTTCATTTCTTCAGTCACACCAAATTATTTTCTATCGCAGGGCTTTTACACATTTTGTTCTGTTTGCCTGGATTGACCCAGCATGACCATCCTTCACTTAACTCATTCTTCAGTTTTCAGCTTAAGTGGTACTTTCTAACTCCTAACTCCCAAGTCTTAAGTCAGGTACCGTATTATAATCTCTCATCAAGCCCTGCATTTTATATCATTTTTCAGAAATTCTAATTATATCTTTATTTGTGTGATTATTTAAAGTCTGACCCTACTAGAATATAAGCTAGTAATTATTTTATGTCTCTTTCTCAAAAATTTGTTAAGTGAATAAGTAAACTGGAGCTTGCTGTAAGAACCATCATGTCTTTTGGAAGCACCAGTTTACTGATATTTTTGTCATTTGAATATTCACTCTACAAACAAATTAAAGAACACAAAAGAAAAAACAACGGGTTTTCCATGGCTTTGGATGATTTTACATTCTTATGTCATAAAACCATTCAGATTTTAGACACTTTAAGTGGAGATAAAGTTTATCTAGGTCAACTTCTCTCTTTCAGCCATAACACTAATTTTATCTCTGTGCATTTGTTTTATGGATCTTTTTAAGAAAGAAAGCCCTTAAAATCAGAATAGTGGTTTATATATCTTAACAACAGGTTAAACTATGAGACCAGTGAGGATGATGTTTTCATAAACAGATAAAGGAAAATGTCATATTTAAGTTGTTGGTGGTGGATGTGAAAGAAAGTATTAAAATTCAGTAATTTGTGTGTATATAGAACAACATTTTTGTTGAGAAGTAGAAAATAAAACATAGGAAATGTATGAATGCCAAACAAAGAGGCATTTGGATTTATTTTATAGGTAGTGAGTGATGAGCTGTTAAAAACGTTTAGGAGGAAGTTTCATTTAATCAAGTTGAGTAAGTTCTAGAGATATGCTGTGAAACATTGTACCTATAGTTAACAGTACTGTATTGTACAGTTAAAAATGTGTTAAGAGAGCAAATCTTGTGTTAGGTATTCTTTGTGTGTGTGTGTGTGTGTGTGTGTGTGTGTGAAGTATTAACACAGAATTTAAAAATGTTTGGGAGGGAATTGGCATCAATGGCAAGTATTTAGCACTTACAAAGTGCCTGTTATTTTGCAGGAGTACAAAAGAAGATAGGACAGGTCCTCCTTCCTCTCTCCCCCTCCTTCAGGGAGAAAGTTAAGAAGATAATTAGTGCATATTGTACTTTCTTTGGTAGGAGATAAAAGAAGTAGTTTTTTAGAAAGGGTAAAGGATTCATTGCTGGAATCACTTTCATTGATGAGGATGCATTATGGTAGTGGTTAAAAACGTAGATTCTGATGTTAGACTTATTTTTGTCACTTACTGACTATAATCATGGATAAATTACTTGAACTCTCTTAGCTTCAGTTTCCTCATCTATAAATAGATATTAATACCTGTTCTTTAGGGTTATTGTGAAAATAAATGCGTGTATGGTGCCTAGCACTGTGCTTAATAAATGTTGTGTAATAAATATTAGATTGGAGTGGTAGCAAAGTGATGTGTTTCTGAATTAAGGTAGTAGTTACAAAAAGATGGGGTTTTTGATAAATGAGAATGAGGTTAAAGCTGATGCTAAGATTTTTTGCCTCAATGATGGTGGGAGGACAAGTATAGGGAAGCCTTCTGAGGGCATGGACTGTATAATTTTCACATTTGTATCCCTACCACAGTGTATCAAATTAGAGTAGCTCAATAAATGATTTTTTTAGAAGTGAAAAAATCAGTTTAAAGTTGTTTTAGTTTTCAAAAGGCAATGAGAGATTTAGAGATGCTTCGATTTGAGAAAGAAACCTGTAAAGCTAGTTTTGAGAAAAGTAAAAACTAAGTTTATCAGTTTTTTAAAATTTGTAACAGCACCTGGTGGAAGTGGTGTTTTAAGACATAAAACATCCTTATGTAACAATGTTTATAAAGTCAACAAAGGATGTATTCTTTTTCACTGCCTTCATAGTTTCAAAATGTAGCAGGGATAAACCAAGATACAAATGGATCAAGGTACAACTCCTCCTGGAGTCCCTCAGTTTGCACACAGATCCCTAAAGTTCTGTTTTGTGTGTGTGTGTGTGTGTGTGTGTGTGTGTGTATCCTGAGCATTATGTTTTAAATTTTTTCAATAAGGTTAAATTTGTGGCTTTTAAATAATGAAAAGGTTAATCTTTGTTGTATAAATGATCACTTTTAACAATCATTTTAATTTTGTGAATTGGATTATTTTTAAGAGGCATAATTATATTTCCTTTAGCTGAGTTGATGGCTTCCGAAGAACTGGGATAGCTGCAGAATATGAGTAGTTCCCCAAGAAGATTGCATTGCCTTTGGCACAAGCATCAGAATAAAGGTGAATCGTTATTACATAGGGTTTTTCAGTAAAAGTCACTGAAAAGTAAGTAATGTTTTTATTTTAGATATGTTTCCAAGAGTATGCATAGTGGCAAGAATTGACCATTTTCTTTCTTCTGTTTTTAGTAACAATTTTCATGCTTTAGCATGTTTTGTGTGTGTGTGTGTGTGTGTGTGTGTATTTTTTTACCCACAGAATGCCTTTCTAGATAAGGATATTTTCAAAGCAATACCTAAAATAGGAACATTTATTTAATTATTTATTTTTAAGCTGTAGGTTTTTATTTTTTGTTAATCCTCACCCAAGGATATTTTTCCCATTGCTTTTTAGAGTGAGTGGAAGGAAGGGAGGAAGGGGGGGAGGGCGGGAGGGAGGGAGAGAGAAATATCGATGTGCAGAGAGGCACATCGATTGGTTGCCTCCTGCACACTCCCTGCATGAAGTCAGGGATTAAACCTGCAACTTAGAAATGTGCCCTTGACTGGGAATGGAACCATGACCTTCAGTGCAGGGGCTGACACTCTGACCACTGAGCAATACCAGCCGGGGCTAAAATAGGAGTATTTAAATATCTGTCCAGGGTATAGAAACATTTTTGGCAATGTTATTGAGCTTTCATAGAATGCACAAGGTTGAATGGTAGTTTTAATAATTGTGAAGAAATTTAGGGAAAGGAGAATCTGAATGGTGTACTTAAAGAATGAGTTTTTATTATATTTCGTCTTCCTAATATCACTTTGGTAGTGAATTAGCATTACAGAATTCAGAGAAATCTTATCTTGGTTCTAGGTTCATAGAAAGTTTAACAGTTACTGAATTATGCTGAATACTGAAAAAGAAACTCAGTTTTTTTCTCTTTAAGTTAGGTAAACCCTGAAAATA